TATATATATATGTTTCTATATATGTATCTATATATGTTTCTAACATTATCCACTATGGTATTATAAATAAAAATTTTTGCTATTTATGTATAATAATCAATAATTTTATTTAAGTCGATTATTTTATATTTTCAAGCTATTTATACAAATATATGATAGTTTGTGGAACTTTTTACTTGAAATACTTATATATTGGAAATATACATCATTAAAAATTAAATAACATATAGTTACGCATTATATAAGAAGAAAAGTAATCACAAAAGTATTTCTTTTGCATTTTATTTAATAACGGAACTATAAAAAAATGTTGTTACATGTTACGTAAAGAATGCATCTTCTCAAATAAATTAATTAAAATTTGGGTGGATGAAAGAAGATTTGCATTATATGTCGTAATATCGTCAACTTTACATTATGTAATTTTTATTTATTATTTATCCCCGATATGCGTGTGTTTTCATTTCATTAAAATAGTTTTTCTCTATCGCGGAAATTTGATACTTCAGCACATATTACCTAAAATGTGAAATCATAATGGTTCCAATATTCCTTCTTTCATCTGTGCTGTTCTCTTTCCATTCCGATTTTTTAATATTAAGCTCGATTTTTTAAAAATTATTTTATTATTATTAATTTATATTCTCAAGTTTTTGTAGAATAGAGAACAGTGAAATATGATATTGAAGTACTCATCAGCTGCTAAAATATATATCATTTGTTTTATTTTGTAATACATTATAAACATATATTAGAATTTTTTTTAGCTACAATAAATGGTTGGGAATTAATAGTTTTGAATAATCAATTTTTTTAATAATTAACAACATCTGTTATATATATATCTACATCTGTAGTATATACAATGTAGAGCATGATTCTAAATAACGAGTATTTCAGATTGATTGTTGATACTATTTTCTATTAACTCTTTGCATTTCTATGTCGAGTGTCAAGTATGACAACAAACTCAACATCAATTTTATTTATACGAGCTCGTATGTCAAGTTATACTATTGTAGTACATTATTATAATAGATTATATTAGTGTTATTATGTGTTACGTAATGATTAATTCTTTTTATTTTAATTATAAGACATTGTGTATGTAGTATTATAATAATAGATATTTATTGATATGCATTATATTTTCATAACAAACTTCTAAATGCAAAAAGTTAAACAATTCGTGGATAGGAAATAGAAGATTTTACTATGAACTAATATATATATTGTACATGTATTTCTTACCGCAGCGGCACTTTCCAAAGACGCCACGAATATTCCACCAAGAATCATATGAAAAGCCTTAGTACCCCTTTGCAATAGAAATAACATCATTTTCTGTATATGTAACGGAGCTATGTACCATTGAACGTTGTATCTACAAAATAGTGACAAATTGATAAAGATAAGAATAATTATAAAAAGATAAAATATATTTATTAATAATGTTTATAATAAACATGTTTGTTCGATGAGTCGTATTAGTTTCTGCTGTGATATATTCAATTATTATTACAAGAATCAAAATAAGTGCTCTTATATAATATGATAAAAATATCTCTCTTACACTGTGGCAAATACGTATTCATTATGATCCGTAATTTCTTGCGCAGTCCAGTTGGATACGAATAAGTATACGTAAAGGATGATTATAATTAAAAGAGGTAGTATAAGTTGCTCAATATTATCACGATACGATGCAGCCTAAAAGTTATGATGTTTGTTACGCATTTACTATCAACTTCTTCAAATCATATTGTTCTGTATTGTTCGTATTAATCTGTTTATATATATTTGCATAATGAAATATGTCATAGATTAGTGTTATGTTACATAATGATTAATATTTTTATAATTATATTTTTATAATTTATAATTATAATTATAATTGTGTATGTAGTATCATAACAAATACGTATACTGTAGTCATGATTTATGAGAAAAGATATTGGATACAATTGTTTTCATAAATGCTTTTAATCTATATATTCTACAATAAAAAGATATTTGCTTATTTCTTTTTATTTTCTTGATTCTTCAATGAAATTCTAATATTACTTAATCACGATTAAATATTAAGAAATTTACCTGAAGAAGATTAAGACTAAGACAAGTTACGCCAATTGCTATTAAGAAGAAAAATGATCCCTCAAAATTTGATATTAAAAAGTCAGTGAACCTTTAAAAAAGGAAAAGTACGTGTTATTATATGTATTAAGTATTTCTTATTAGATTTACATATATTAACATGTATTCTTATCAAATATACATATACTAACTCCATAGCTCTGCGATGAATATCTACAGCATAAATTATTTCCTTATAAATTTTGCTCTCATTCTTTAAGTCATCTTTTTGTAAAATGTTGATTGCTTGTTCAATACGGTAACTGTAAAGAATTTTATCCATATAATTACTTCGTCTAAATTCGTTTTAGATGACAAACAAAATATCGTTTATTTATTGTATTCATTCTAGTATTTTATTTATTTACCTGGCGATATTAAACATTCCGCAGGTATGTTGAAGATATGCAAGAAGCATCGTTCCTGTCGCTATCATTGCGGTACATCCTATGTAATTAGCTGCTAATGCGTGCAACATGATAAAGTGGAAATATTTTTCTTGATCAATAAAGTATTCTGTCATGTATATTGAAGGATTTAATCGAGAACTGTTATTAAGCAGAATAAAGTGTTGAATATACGGCCAAATTTGTAGAAAAGTTAAAGTACTTTCACCGCACATGCCAAACACTGAGAGAAATTTTATAAAATTATTTATATATATATAAATCAAACTTTATTAGCTTTTAATTAAAAAAATTTTTTTTTCTATTGAGGAAAGATAGAATCTTGTTTCGATTTCAAAAAATATATTATTTATGATTACATTTTATTTAATTTTGAAAATATAAAAGACTCAACTACCATTGTCTTACGTATTATTGCAATTGTATAACATTTCGCCTTGCTTCCACATTTTTCTATAATAGCGATTTCATTTTCATCTTTTAATTTATTACATACATCTTGAAGTTGTTCCAACAAACTCTTTATCTATCGTATCAATGATATTATATTTCTCATTAAAATTTGAAAATGATTAAATTAAATGTTTTCTTCATTAATTTGTTGCTATTCTTCGTCGATTAGGACCAAATTACCTGTTACTTTCTGTCTTTTTTATATTATAATTAAAAATTATAAAGGATTAAGCCATGATGAACTGAAAGAAAATAAAAAACACCCAGAATAACTTGGTCCCAACTGATAAGAATACGAAAAAGAATATAAAAATTAAACAATTTCATTATACTGAAGATTCCATTTATCTGATATTTGATTGATAACATTCTTACGGTATCGGCGTTAATCCAAAATGAATTATATTTGATCGCGAAACATATAAAAAAAAATGAAGTAGAAAAAACTTTGAGAATGTGTTCTGAAGTACATTTTATTAATAATGTTGTAAACTGCAATAAATATTTTACTGAATTAGCTGCATTGAGCAAGTGATAGCAGATTACTTAATTAATAAATTGTTTGCTCTTTGCTCTTGTATTATGCACTATGTACTATTATATATTCAGTGAGATAGTAAAAAGTGCAAGTTTAATATTGTATACGATAGTTTTATTTCAAAAAGACAAATATTATATAATATAATTATTATATTAATAATCTAACGGATATAATTGAAATAACGTTTTGTTTTATATAAATCATAATATTCACTATTCAATAACGTATTTTTTTACTTTAATAATAAAATTAAAATTTCAACATACTTGAAATATAATAAAAGTCATCAGAGTACCAAAGAATAAAAGTAACTGAAATTGAATGATGAGCGATCGTTGATAAGGCCATAAACCAACGACAAGCAACAGAATTCGGTTGAGGCTAAAATGTCGAGTTTCGAGACAGATCATTTCTTCGTGAGCACCAAAACGCGTTTAACGGAAAAGTAGACATATATTTAACGGCGGACATATATTTTATCCCCTCTTTCCTATTCAGTGAGACTTTTCTCCTTTTTTCACACAATTTTTTCAATAAATTTCTTTTTTCTATCCTATAGGATAAAGCATTAAGTACAACTATAAAATTAGACTCGCATAATTTATGAAATTTTCTTAGAAGAACGTTTATAAATAAATTATAGGAATACTGGAATAAATGATTGATTTCACACTAAAAGCAATTTAACAGATGTTCTTTTCTCATAGAGAAATGTTCGTACGAGGACTTCTTCCGTGCAAAAATCGCGCAGCCGCAATCGCTACTTTTCATAGCTTTTCACTACATTTCCACCTATTTCAGTCTAATGTACACTTGTATGACATGTTTGCCTAAGCAACGCTAAATATTGCATATCATATGCAAGTTAGTAAACTACGCAATTTTTATATTTAAGTCAAACTTTAATGTTTATTTTCTTGAAATCTTCTAACTTTGCACCACTTATGTTATCAAAAGGATGTATTTATTTAAATTTAATGCAATAATAACACATTATAAATTTTTGAATATTTTTGAAATTTAATGTATCAACATGCACACATTACAATAAGTAAAATGATAAGAACTATAGAAAATAATTTTGAACAATTTTATTTATTAGGGTAACTCCAGCCGCATCTCTCTTAAAAACTTATTATTATTAAGTATTATTTTATATAAGTATAATTTATTAAATATTATTAAGTATTATTAAGTATTATTTATGTTTATAGTAAATGAACTATCAGTAAAAACTTTCTAGTGTCTACTATTATGAAACAAATATTAGAAATCCGAAATATTTATTTTTCGTATTAAAAAATAAACTTTTTGAAATCCTTGCATTTTTGCTGTACATCTCATAGAGATGGGATATATGACTAATTATAGGAGGAAGAGGGATATGGATATATACGGCTCATGACAAATTTACAAATAATGCATATAAATAAGACGTATAATGACACAATAACTTATAAAATATGTTTATAATGTTTATAAAAAATTTTATTAAAGAATAAAAATGGTAAATATGTATATGAAGTAATAAATAATAATTATAACCTTCTTACACATATTACAAGTGTTATGACATAAGATATTTCATATAATACGTTTATTACATTTAGTGCACTGAATTCAATCTGCGCACTTTGTATACTTTGGGCATAAATCCTGCTCGCTAAAAATGCCGTATGTCCCTAACAGGTGGGATATATAAGACAACAAACTAAACAAAAAATACGAAAGTAAAGCACTTGTATTTTGCTACACAACATGCTTTACTAATCCACTATATGTACGTATCAACTAACCACTAAGTCTTTTACGCCCTAAATCATTAATCATTTTATGTAAATTATAATTTATGATGGCATTACTTATTACAGTGACAAATCGATTCAATACTATATATAACTCATAATTATATAACTCACAATAAATTATTGATATTAACAGTAAGAAGCTAAAATCAAAACACAATAATGTAAAATAAAGGCATTTAACAGAGTAGTTGCAGGAAAATTACGTCCACTCCTTCTACTTTTTTTTTTATTTCTGCGGCGTAAATCCCATCGCGGCGTATTTGCCAGAGTTAGTTTATCTATATTTTTTCCATTAATTTGATAATATCGAAGTCCAAGTTCTATCCATTTAATCTATCCATTTATCATATAACATTGTAACATTATCATTAAAATTCTGTACATATTTATAATCTGTCTAAAGATTATACAAAGCTAGATGGCACATTATTGATTCGTATAATAAATTAATGTAAAGTAAGAGAATGACGCGCTGACTAGCTGCAATGAAAAATATTTTCTTCAAAATTGTTTGAAAAATATTTTATTAATTATAAATATTTTAATAATATATTATCGAATAAATTTTGATTTAATTTTTACCGTGGCGAAGCCTTCTAAGGAACCAATAAATAATCCACCAATCATTATCTTCAAAGTTTTAGTGCCTCTTTGTAATAGGAACAATATTAGCTTTTGCACATGTAAAGGAACTACATACCAGTAACCATTGTATCTATGAAATGACGATTAAATATAATCAATATCGATTATATATGATAATATTATGATGATAAAATAAATGATGATAAATAGATGTTTTTAATTATCTTGTAAATATATATGTATATAATATATAGTTATTTTATGAAATATTTCAACTTTTGCTACAAATTTTGTACTATTACTGTATAACTCTAACTTGTATTGCAAAAATTTTAACTTTCACTTATCACATAAGAATATTTCTTACACTGTAACGAATATGCTATTGTTATGATCTATAATTTGTTGCGCAATATTGGTAGAAAGGAATGTGTATATATAATGAATATTCAATATTATGAGGCACTGTATCATTTTTTCTCCAATATATCCAGATGATATCTCTCGAAAAATCTGGAATGCGAGTATTTATTTAAGAGTATACTTAAAAAAATAAAAATTCAAACTTACTCGATAAAGATTAAGGCTTGCAAAAACTGTTCCATTCAATATCATAATAAAAAATGTCGTATTAAATGATGATATAAAAATTTGGACAATCCTTCAAGGAAAAAATATTATGTATAATATATACATTATATAATATATAATAAATGTGTCATAATATATAGAAATAAATTCAAAAATAAATTCCTTGATCATTTCCGAATAGGTTTAAATTTGACATTGATATTAATATTTTATTATTTATAATCTTCTTAATTATATCTTAATTATGTCTTTTCTGATGTTAAATATTAATGTTCAAATTACAATAAAATATAATTATAGATTTTCAAACTAAAATTTTTGAAGAAACATGTACATATAAAATTGAATACAATTTATTTAAAATTAATTTACAGATTTGATAATACTTTACTTCAAAGCTTTGCGATGTATGTCTATGGCATAAATTATGCCCTTGCAAATCAAATTTGCACTTTTTATGTCACTCATTCGTTTAATACCAATTGTCATGGCTTGCTCCATACGATAGCTGTAATAAATAACTTATACATATATATATATATATA